CAGCCACCTCCAGCAATTCCGTGGCATTAGCCATTCCTGGTTGGACAAAAATCAACCGACATACACCCTGTCTTCTAACCCTCTGGACCACTGGTTGAGGGACAGATTTCTCAACCATCACGTCATCTTGAACCAAACTCATATCTACTGGCCACGCTGGGTTCAGCTGAGTTAGTGTCATGTTGTCTGTTTACTTTTGGCTTAGTGATGTGGAAGCTATCCAACAAGCAAACCCAAGCCAGTCACTCTTGAGTGCAATCCACGAAACAAGTCACTGTTGGCTCAGGACTTCCTACCTTGTGCTGGTATCTGTTATCCAAGGCATGCTTGATGAGGAGGCTTTTCAAGATGCTGATGGCCAAGTATCGGACGTCCGAGTTGTCCTTCAGGGCGATGGACGTCTCCCGTAGGAGCACCCCCACCAAGAAATGGTGGCGGCAATATTCATCGCTTAGGCTGTACTCAAGGTTGACATCTGTGGGTGGAGGAGGAAGGTTGAAAAGGATCATTCTGAGAGTATCACAAGGACATCTGGTGATGGAAGTCACTGAAGAGAAGGGGAGGCAGAAGAACGGGCCAACCCCACCGGCGGATTTGTTTGGTCCTGCTAAGTTGGGGATAAGGGTTTGGGGGGGGGGTGTCAAGGGAATTGAGAAAGGACAAAGGCTTGGAGGAGGGGGCAGAGAGTTGGGGGGAATCTGACGGCACTGGAATTAAACAGAAATCCCAGAGCCATAGATCCATCTCATCCTGGGCACCCGTTTTTTGAACTATTACCATCTGGCAGACGGTACAGGACAATAAAAACAAGGACAAATAGGCTGAAAAACAGCTTCTATCCCAGGGCAGGAGCTCTGTTGAATTCTACTGTATAATAGTGTAAAATTAATGCAATATCAGGGGTCTTCAATGTATAAAATGTGAAGGGGGTGTGTTTGTGTTTATTGTCATAGTCATCATGTACACTGGAGATGGCATTTAATTTCGTCGTACGAGGTGCAATGACAATAAAGTAAACTCAACTAAATTAAACTGGATTATTTATATGAACCGTTCAAGATGGTCACATAAAATTGATTGCTGAGGCTAAATTTCTGCTTCTGGGAATGCCAAACTGGAGTTATTATAAACAGATCAAGATCTCGCAGTGACAGTGTGGACATTTTTTAGAAACAGAAGGCTTGCAGATGTCTTGCTCGGCTGTTCCAACTCAAATATGTTTGCCTTTTTGGATGAAACTTCTGCTAACCTCTGTTGGTCTCAGAAGCAGGTCCAGATCAAAACCTTGGATGAATAGATGAATAATGGATGGATTGGGAAACCTTGTCAGAAGCAGCTGGGTGGACATTTCTGGAGGCCAAATCCTTGCTTATTTTAAGAGCATCGGATTTGGCCCAAAGCACCTTGCAGGCTTTTATCTAGAATAATAACAACTTTATTGTCACTCTGAATGTGCCTTAATTGGTGTACATTAAAACTGAAATTTTGTTGCAGGCAGCTCTTTTAAAGGGCCACCTCCTCCAATTTTACACTACATAAACATGACAAGATAAATAAACAAGCAAATAAATTTCTACCCTCCATCTAGCAAACCCTTGTGGAGACGTGGGAAAAATGTCTAATTGATGGACCACCCTTTGTCTGAATGGTCCAGCATTCCTGTTGGAGCAAGGAGTTGGACTAGATGACCTCCAAGGTCCCTTCCAACTCTTGTCATTCTGTAATATCTGATGTGCCACAGAAGGAAACGAACAAACAAAAAAGAATATAAATACATTAGCTGGATTAAATTAGGATAGCACAAATAACGGCAACAACTGACAGGCCCCGGCAGATTGATAACCCTTTGATGGGGCCCAGATGGTTCTCATTCCATCTTCATAGCCAAAACTTTGGGCTTCTGTCCATGGCAGTGAATGTGCTCCACTCTGTGGGTGGGTTTACGTACACACAGACACATCAAGGCAGCCTTAACTACTTGAGGGATATTTCATCTCCTTGCTCTGTTGCAGAAAAGATGAAACAAATAGGTCTCCTCTTCCAATTTAACCCATTTCACAGCACAACGATGCCCAATGGGCACATTACTGCTTTGGGTGAAGCCATCTCCTAATTATAAAAAATACCCGCTGCTACTTAGTCCTGCAAATTCTATTTGTGGGCTTGGCTTCATTTCTCAGGAAGCTTTGCAAAGGTAATTGATTCCCTTCTCTCAGGCACTGGCTCCAGAAACAGACAGAGAAATAATCGCCCGCTGGGAATGGCCTACGAATCACGGGGCGGGATACAAACCATGCGTCCGCTGGAACTTTGGCTTGGCAAAATTCATCGGCAAATTGAGCGGAATGTAGTGCTCGTGGTTACAGATGGTCTGCAGAAATTCAAACTTGTATTCCACCAAGAGCTGGATGTGGAGAAGGAGGGAAAAAAAAACCCAGGGAGTTATAACAGACGGCTTCTGCTTTCTATCGCCCGCGGTGGCTCCGGGAAGCTTCAGATTTTACCTTTGGGTCTTTGGGACTGAACCCAGAAATGTAGTCGTTGATCAGGTTGAAGATAAAACCTCGGTCCATGAAGGTCAAACATCGCTGTGGAAGAGGAGAGGAGGTGAACTCCTGCATCGCATTGACTGAGTGTGTTTCTGAGGCACATAAACGCTATTTATGGGGTAACCTTTAGGTATTTGGGGGCTCCCATCAACAGAATTTCAGGCATAGGAGTAGTTCTCAATGCTGGCAGGGATGAAACTTGTTTGCTATTTATTTTTTTGTAAATTAAAGATGGGGAAGAGAGGAGGGAAAGAGGCAAAGTCTACACCAACCTTCAAGAGGTTGGCCAAGGAGAAGTTGACATTTCTGGACTCTTCTGGGATTTCGCTGTAGCGAATGTTGACGTGTGGGATTATGGAGAGCAGCAACGAATGCAGCACGTGGCCGTAGGACTCCGGGAACCTCTGTGGCCTGGGAAGCTGAAAGGACGAGGTGTGTGAAGGTGGCGTCCCACCAGACCCAAGTGGCTTGTCTGTAAAAGCTTCCCTTGCTCTGCTTCTGCCCTTACCTTAATCTTGTTCTCATCCAGAAGATAAAGAGCCATGGACTTCACCAGGATTTCAAAGAAAAACCACGAATACTGGAAGGAAGAGGAGGGAGATGTGTCCCAGCCAGGACAGGTCTCCACCTGTTCCCACCTTAGAGAAGGAACCACGGTGTGGGGAAGGCCACCAAGTGAGCAGTGTGTGGCCTTTCTCAACCCCCTTGACTTGACGGACTTCAAACTTTGCAAGGAGGGGGCCTCGAAGGACTTCCAACTTTCCACGTTGGGTCTCACCTTCAGCATTTTATTGATGGCCAAGAAATCCGCGGACTGCTTGAGAATTGCTGATATGGCTCCCGCCAGGATTTCGTGCGTCCTCTTAGCCTGGGGCCCACTGGGCTTCTCAGGCTGAAAGCAGAACTGGGGTGGGGGAGGGAGAAGAGACATTGGGGGCTATTCGTGGTGGGCTCCCTGGGCCCAGAGCCTGTGACCCAAGAAGGGAGTCCTTTCTCCAACTTACCTTGATGAAGGTCCGCAAATAGTGGTCCAGACTCTCCTCGTGACACCTGGACACGATGTAGAGAAGAACCCTGCAGGGAGGGGTGGGAAAGAAGGACGGAGGGAGAACAAGACATCTCATTGTTACACGGGAGAAGGCAACTGGTTTTCCTATCAGGGGCCGATGGGCTTGGTGGAGGCGGGAGGAGTCTCGCTTGGGAATGTCATCCGTTTCCTCCTGCCCATCTTGAGTTGCTGCACTCAAGAGGAGCCACCTGGCCTGGTCGCGATGGAATCGTTACGGCTGTGCTGAAAAAAAACAGTGGCTTATGCCCTTCGCTCTTAGGACCGTGGCGGCATCCCCGTGGTCACGTGATCGCGATCAGGTGCTTGGCAACCAATTTATGACGGTTGCAGGAGGATCCCTTGGTCCCTTGATCGCCATTGAGGACTTTGGTATCCAGCAAGCAAAATCAGTGAGGGAAGCTGGATTGGCTTAAAGGCAAAAAAAAAGGCTGTGAAATCAGGTGCAACCACGAGGACTTATGAACTACTGCCTCACTTAGTGGCCGAGGTGCTGGGCCCAGTTCTGGATGTAAATTGAGGACTAACGCTATTTGGTTCTTTTAGAGCTCCACAATAGATTTGCCTCTGAAAAGCCCTCCTGCTGGAGCAGAAGTTTGGACTGGAAGGTTTCCGAGGTCCCTCCCAACTGCTGTTCCGTTACTCTTAGCTCACCAGGTGTGTTAGCTTCTGTAACTGACCGGGTGATGCCACTGTGCTGCGTTAGATGGCTAGTGTGCTGAAAACATTCCCAAGGCAGAGAGGAAGCCAACCTGAAACAGGTTCCTTATCTGCAGGCCAAACTCACATAGTGCTGTTGATGGCCACCTCTTCCTCTTCTGGGTGGCTGCTGAGGACTCGGAAGAGTTGCGTAAGAATCACCGGCAGAAACTGTATCATGACCTGGATCTCCATGGCATGCAAACACTGAAACCAAGATACGTGGTTAGGCTTCGAGAGAGTGCAAAGGGGGACGGAGGTCTGGTGATCTTTGAGCCTTTGTGTCATGCCCCTGTCGGAGTCTGAATCCGAGGAAGAAGACGAACGGCTGACAGGGAGTGTGGCTCCATTGGCTGTGGAGGAAACTGGGGGAGGGCACAGTCTGCAGGGCAGAGCAGGGAAGAGATAGAACAAGGGACAGGGAGTTTGGAGGAAGACCCAGGCCCACCCCCTCTTTATCCTAGGGCACGCAGGGAGGAACGGAGAAGGGAGCAACATGGGTTGCATGGCTTATGGGGAGGAAAAGGTCCTGATTCCCTTCATTAGCCACAACTGGGAATGAGAGTTTAAAGGAGATGCATGCTGAGTACAGCAGCTGCTGGGAGCAAACGTTGAGTTTATCTTGTGTTGACTGTGGTTATCTGTGTTCCTGGCATCTTCCCAACCATGTTGAGTTATTGCCTTCATATCTCGAATTCTTGCTCCGGACTTGTCAGACTATTTTGCCTTGATTGGACTTATAGTTTTATTGACCACATTTTGGACTTGATTCTCTGCAGCCAAAGGCTGTTTCTGGGAGAATTTTTCTCCAGCCCAGAAGGTAACCAGGATATTGGTGGCAAAGTTGGAGCAAATAAAGGGACTCCTACGGATTATCTGACTGTGTGGCCTTTATGCCACGCCCCTTTGGGTCATCACACTTTGCTTGGTCCTTCTTTCCATACAAGTGACCGCATTTGCACTCTCTCCAAAAGATCTATCCCCACCCCCCGTCCAGACCGGGCTCACCTTCAGATATTTGACAAGTTCCCCTGGCACACCTTTGGCACCACCTTGAATCGTCTGGCAATACTGGAAGAATTTATGCAGGTGACGATCCTGAAGTGACAGAAGAACAAAATTCACCAGTCTTTAAGAACAGAGTGAACTGTTTCCACTCGGGCCTCGTCTGAGCTTCCTGCAGTCAGAGAGATCCTGTGCTCAGGTTGTCTTCTCTGCAAGGATAACAGGGCTCCCTTCTCACCTGGCTCATTCGCAGGCGACCGAAAACCAGTGTGTGTGTGTGTGTGTGTGTTTTGTTTTTGTAAGGAATCAGGTTGGGGTGGAGGGGAGGGTCGTGGCTGCCCCGTTTTAACGACTTTTTTCTAAGAGCTTGCAAAAGGGCCTCTGCGAAGGCTGGTCTTCCATCTGTGTTTATTTATTTCAGAAAGTGTATGTGGCCACCAACTTATTCTCAATGACCCCAGGGGACTTACAAGGATAAGGACTTACAAGGCAAGAACAATTGAAAAAGCAATAATCCTCCATCCCCCCTCCAGTGGCAACAATCAAACGAGCCACTTGACGGTCTCCATCCCAGTCTGGGGTCTTCTGGGCCTTGGGAAAGAGTGTGAAAGTGGGGGCCAGTCTTATCTCCTTGGGGATGATGTTTCACAGGGAGGGAGCCACCACGGAGAAGGCCCCCCTTCTTGGTCCCACCGGATGGACCTCCTTAGGAGAGGGGACAGGTCACGCACCTGCGTGTATATGGTGGACTCCAGGTGTAGCCTCAGCTTGAAGAGGGCCTTGGCTCCATCCACCCACTTGACGTCGATGCTTGGCTGGAGATTCCAAAGGAGAAAGAGATATTTTTGAAGTTTGGGTTTTGCCCTAAACTAGTCTGGGCTACCTAACCAGGAAGCGGCCCAACCAGCGATGAAAAGAGCCATTTAAGTTGAATCCAGAAAGGGGTCCACGCAAGAGAGAGAAAACGTTTCTCTCTCGTTTCTCTCTCAGGGAAAGTATTTCTAAGCATAGGAAAATCCCAGTGACCCCAATTCTGCAGCCAGGAAGCCATCAGAACAAGGCAAACAAAGCTGGCCAGGTCTTGGTGGGTTTTGCAGGGCGCATCTTGCTTACACAAGCGCCGCTGTCTAGGAACTGGGGCGAAGGCACAGCGGTCAGGAGGGCAGTTATACTCCTGGGTAATGTACCAGTAGGACAACAGGGGCTTGAAACTTGGCCAAGAAACTCTGAGATCCCTGCCTGGTTGGGTGCAGCTCTGTGGATTTGCTCCGCGCTCTGCCTGGAAGGGTGAAAAACGTAGCATCCCAAACCACCCGTGGGTCGTCCTCCTGATGACAAACCCACCTCGGAGCCGCCTTACCTTTCGTGCCTCGGTATCTCCGGCGCTCAGGTAGCCGGCTGGCAGGTTGGCGGAGACGGGGAGCTGCTGCTCAGAGGTAACAATCAGCCCGTCTTTCAGCAAAGGCAGCCAGGCAAAGCCAACTGCGGGGAGGAACGGGGGGCAGAAGAGACACGGGGGATCAGCCAAGGCCTGGCTGGTCTGAAGAGCCGCAGGAGGTTTAGGGGGCACCTGTGGCTCATAGGCGCAGCCCAGGTGAGCCTGCGAGCGTTTTAAGTTACGAACGAAGGCCGAGCTACATGTCCCAGGATAACGTTTCAGGAACCAATCTGGGTCAGTTAGCGGGGCCTGAAGTTTAGCCTTCTGAGCTTTCGGACCAATGGTGGGATTCAAAGATTTTTTGCTACTGGTTCTGTGGGCGTGGCTTGGCTTGGTGGGCGTGGCAGGGGAAGGATACTGCAAAATCCCCCTTCCCTCCCCATCCGACTAACCTGCTTTCCAGCTCTGTTCTCCTGTGCAGGGCAACCAAAGGAGACCCAGCCAATCAGCTGGGATTTGGGAGGCGGAGAATAGATGGGGGCGGGGCCAGCCAGAGGTGGGATTGGCCGGTTCTCTGAACTACTCAAAATTTCCGCAACCGGTTTTGTAGAACCGGTGTGAACCGGCTGAATGCCCCCCGCAATAGAGCCCGTCCTCAGGGACCTTTCAGAATATTCCAGGAGAGAGAGATTCCCCCAGGATGGGCTCCAGCACGAGTCCAAAAACTCAGAAGACCAAACCTCTGGTCCCGGGTACTGACCCACGTGGGATCCTGCAATCTTAAGCAAGAATCCCAGAGGATCATTTGTAGGTGGGCCCTAAGGATCATTCCTTGAGGAACCCAGCCAGAACCCCGGGGAAGGGGAGAGCTCGGGTACCTGTGGTCTCTACGGCGTCCTGTTTCTTCGCCGTCCCCTTTGTGTTGATTTCGCAGCTGATGTGGTAGAAGGTGAACAGCAGGTGGTGCTTCTGGTGGAGGTGGATGGGAAGCTGGATTTTGATCTACGCGACAGGAGGAGGAGAAGGGAGGCTGAATTCTCGCAAGATTTCACTTAAAAAAAGAAAGGATGATCGGCATTTTGTTTTATCCGGCTGGGGAATTCTGGGAGCCGAAGCTCACCCGTCTTAAAGTTGCCAAGTTTGAAAAACCTGGATCAAAGAAATCAAAGGAGGGTCCTCAGTTCTATAAATAGAAAACCATCTTATTTTCTCCTTATTTCTGTCAACCCTCAAGAGAATTGTCCATCTCCTTCTCCTCGGCTAGTTACTATTATTATTTTTTTCTCACCTCATCGTAAAACTCCGGGCTCTGATTGTGGTGCAAGACACAAGCGTAGGCATGCGAGGTGAAGAGAGGCCCTCCGGGTTTGCCATAGAAGCACTGCAGGATGTAACAAGAACGCAGTGAGGCTGGGAGGAAGAAGACGACTCGGAAGGCATGACTATCTCCTGGGCCATCAAAAGTCCTTTCCTCGCTTCCTCGGCAACCCTGCTCAGCTCAGTCTTATCAGAATTGGGCCCCAAGAAAGGGAGATCCTTTCACACCGAATCCCACTGCCAGGATTCAAATGTTGGTGGGAAAGATCTGGTTGCAGACTGGCCAGGATTAGGAGCCCAAGGTTGAAGAGCTCCAACTGGGGTCAACTGGCTCCCTCTAGTGGGAATTCTGGACAAGCTGGTGGACCTTCTGTCCTCATTCACATGGAACGGAGACGCAACCGGGCCTCTTGACAAAGATCTAAGCCCTTGCAAAACTCTGGAAGCCCACCCATCGCCATGACTAGAGATCAGCTGGTAGGTGGACAGGACCTTCCAAGAGGAAGGAGATCACTCATCTGGCCCAGAGGTTGGAGCATAAAGGACAGGAAAGTTCTGGAGATGGAATGAGCCCAAGAAGGTGGCAGGACAAGGGTATCGCAGAAACTCAACACAGGGTGCCAGGAGGCCACTTGCCACCAGGAGCCACCAGAGGCCAGAAGGGCTGGATCGTCTTCTTGTGGGACAATCTCTTCCTTGGGCAGGGCTCTGGAGTACCTTTAAGGCTTTGGCGTCTCCTTCGTCGGAGTCCTTGAATTCCACCCGGATGGCAATGTTCCTTGCCTGGAAGAGTGACCCACAGTGGGCATAAGGGAACATTTAGGCCCCCATTTTTGCCACAAGAAAGCTCTCCTCACCCTTCTGTGCCTCTCCTTACTCACCTTGGCAAACGTCTTCTGGCTGTCATACTTCAGGTGCAACGGGTAGACATAGAGCCGGTTTCTGTAGGTGGTGAACGGGCAGCAATACTTGGCCACCTCGGGCACAAATTCATCAACCTCAAGAGCCACACTGCCACGCTGCTCCTGTCCGTCAAAGGGCTTGATGGGGATGAAAGCAGCCGTGACGCAGTCTGGCGGAGGACAAGAGCCAGAGGCAGCACATGGTGACAGTACTCCCTCTTTGGACAAGCCAAGCCGATGGGAGAAGTTGGGTTTTCTTAACAACTGTGGTATCAAGGTTGTAAACTCTGACGTGACTCACTTAAAAACTGCATCACTTAGTAACAGAAGTTCTGGACACAGTTGTGATAATAACTCGAACACTATCTGTATATTGATTTGACAGCCTGAAGGGGACGGTCAATCTGTCCCATCTCCAGAATATGCAACATGAATTTTCAAACCATGTTTTTTTGTTAATAACTATGCTTAAGGTCAAACTGATGGGTGACCCCCGAGTGGGCAACCAACCAACCAACCAACCAACCAACCAACCAACCAACCGCTCAGAAACCAGGTTAGACAAAGGAAACACAAGCTGATCAATGACAAAAATCGAGTCTCGTGTTCTTCCATCTTTCTGCTCTGTTCTTACTTGTGAGTTCCAAGGGGACACACTCCAATGTCACATTCAGTTGGCCAGGTATCACTTGTAGTTTTGTCTTCTCTGGTCTGCACAGAAAACAAAGAACGACTCAGAAGACAAGCCAGGTAGCCCAATTCAACAATGTTGGGATGAAGAATCTGGGACATCTATTTTCTCTACACTTTCTGCAGCCCAAAGCTTCTCTTCTGACCCCCAAGGGGGGGGGCAGAAGGACACCCCCGTCCCAGCAGCCTTACTTCTTATACTCTGCCAAGAATTTCAGGAGGTCCTCCGTGGAGAGTTTGCTGCTCTCTTGCTTATACAGGGGAGAGAACTTCCCATCCAGGTCCAAGGCGCCTTGGGAGTCTTTGAAGACAGACCTGGGAAGAGAAAAGGGCGTACATTTGAGCAACGTCCACACCTGCTCATGGAAACCTCATAGCCTGCCAGGTAAACACCCAACATTAGAACTTATGGAGCTCCAGGAGTTTTAGCCAGGAAGCAGGTGCTGAAACACAACCAGCAAAGAGAATGCAAAGAGTTGGCTGGTACTAGTGGCTTGGTACTCTTCATATATAGGCCACCTTCTACACTTCTTAGTCAGGTTCTGGAGATGTGTTTGGATGGCAAAGGAAGCCCTATAGGCTGTGCACTCTGAAAGGCCAACAAACTTCCAAGGATGGAAATTTCAACCAGGAAATGTCTTTCTGAGGACGAGTAGAAGAAGCAAACTCCTGGAAGAGCAAAGCCAAAATAGAAGGTCTTCTCCCATGAAGAACCTTCAAATGCCATCTTCAGGTGGCAGTTTGTCCTGGTAGCTGTGGGCAAGTGGCTTGGCTCCTGGCATCTTCCACTCATGGGAAGGGTGACATGTTGGCCTTGGCATCAGCACAAGAAGTAGCCTCACCTGACCGCCCAAGCAAAGGGCATCCGGTACCGTCCAAGACGGCCGCATACCACCTTGGCCAACTTGTGGACCTTCTGTGCTGTCTGTGAAGGAAGGAAAAGACATCAGATGTGGACAGCTGGTTGAAGCTGGAAGACAAAAGATCCAGGAGTGGTGGCAGGCAGTGGTGCCAATCTCAGAGAAGTCAGGTAAGGCAAGTTCTGAGAAAGGGAGAAGTGAGGTTCCCCCCTCCCCCAAAATAAGCCCATAAATGCACTAGGTGCGTATTAAGAACATCTGAAACATCTCCAATTGTTCACCATCACCTTTGTCTACCCAGGAAGAGTACACGTGGGCTAAAAGGTGGCCTATGTGGCTCAGTAGATAAATCCTGCCTCCCTCTCTATCCCCAATCCAAGAGATGCCGTATGGCTCGTCCATGTTCAACTCTCAATCTCTTCATAACTTGACCTAGGAGCCACATTATTTAGGTGGAACTCCCATAAAATACATTCACACGCTGCACTAAGACATGGCTTGTTTGATCTGGGTATGTCTGCTCAATCACTCTGATTTGTAAACCATAGCTGGGTGCAACGTCAGAATCCAGCCGGCCATTAACGCCTCTTATGTGCTCAACCACCGCTGCCATCTCCACAGAATGTTACCTGCCCTCCATGGTGCAACATGGACTGGAGGAGCTTTATGGGACAAGAGGTCCTGCCTTAAGACACCCATTGCCTCCTTTCTCATCCCAACAAGGGGGAGTCCATCCCATGAAATCAAGATGTACCTTTGCAGGATCTGAATTCTTGACGTAGGGCTCAACGCTGTGGGCGATGCTCCCTTGAAGCACCTTCTCCACCCGGGCAACAAGGAAAATTTCCGGGTGTGGATTGGTCACAGAGAAGACTCCCTTGGTGGAAAAGAGAGGCAGAGCATCAGAACCCACAAGGCCCCTCAAGATGGACAAGACAATGGGAAGGCCATCGTTTGAGGGAGTCTCAGGCCTACACAAAAGCATTTTAAGCCACATGGGTCTGTCCTTACTTAGGAGAGTGTTCCAACTTCAACCAACTCTCTCTTAAGTGAGGACAGAAGGGCTCCCAAGAGGTGGGTGCGTTCCCCTACAAAGCTGTTGGCTCTAAAATAGTTCCCTCATCTCTGGCTGGCATTATCTGCGTTTCCAGGATGGACCTCAGAATCAGATTCCTGCTGGTCAATCAGGTGTAGAAGTTGAATAATAGAATGACAGAGTTGTAAGGGACCTTGGAGGTCTTCTAGTCCAATCCCCTGCTTAGGCAGGAAACCACTTTCACACAAAGGGTTGCCCAATCTCTTCTTAAAAACTTCCAGTGTTGGAGCATCCACAACTTCTGGAGAAGTTGTTCCCCAGATTAATTGTTCTAACCGTCAGGAAATTCCTCCTTAATTCCAGGTTGCTTCTCTCCTTGGTGAGTTTCCACCCGTTGCTTCTTGTCCTGCCTTCAGGTGCTTTGCAGAATAGCTTGACTGCCTCTTCTTTGGGGCAGCCCCTGAGATATCGGAAGACTGCTATTCTGTATCCCCTGGTCCTTCTCTCCATCAAACTAGACATACCCAGTTCCAGCAACCGTTCTTTGTATATTTTAGCCTCCAGCCCACTAATCATCCACTGTGTCCAGTGTAACAATCATTCGTGCTCTGGCTTTGCAATAGGATGCCATTATCATCACAAGCTCAGCCTCTGGATCCACCACCCCAAAACATAAGGCCAGTTGTTGGGGAGCAAGAGGAAATCTGTGCTTGAACCTCGTGTTCTGCTGAAGGATTTTCCTCTGGCATGAAGTTGACTATGGAGAACTAAATAGTAGGTTGCTCCATGTTAGGTTTAATCCAGCTCCAATTTCCCTTGGAGGCTTCCTTCCTGAGGTCAGGTGGACTCCACAGAACCTCTCACCTGCGTTATGTAGCGCAAACTGGACTCAGCCACGCCGTGGAGGGATCGGCTGTTGACGGGGCTGTTTCCAGGCTGTTGGTCGGAAGAGTCGTGCAGCATCTCCCGCACAGAGCCAGAGTTTAAGTCCACGTGGAAATCTGCTGAGATCTTGCAACAGTTTTTCAGATCAAAGAGAGCCAGGCTGAGGAAGAACGGCTCCACCTGGGAACACAAAATAAGATCCTGAGGTCGACATTCATTGGATGTTCTACAGAAGGGAACGCTGGACTTTAAAGGGAAAAAATGGGTTGCTCTGAACTTTGGAAAACACTCCTGAGAACACCGAGGCGGGGTTGACCAGACTCAAACGATCCTACTTTGAACACATGAGGTGAAGACCCAGCTCGGTGGAGAAGGCTGTTATGCTGGGAACGGTGGGAGGAAAGAGAAGAAGAAAAGCCAGCCCCAAGATGGAGGGACTGAGTTGCAACGGTGATGAGTGCATGGGAAGACCTGAAGGACCAAGTTGGGGCCAGATCACCTGGGTGAAAATCTACCTATGTGGTTGTTCAGAGTCAACAATGACTTGTGGGCATATAGTCAATTGAAGTGCCGAAGTGGGACTGGCCAGAAGGGGGCATCTTCTAGAAGACGGGTGGCTTCCACGTGCGGGTTGGCCACTAGGAGAACATCTGGACAAGGGAGCCTGATCCGGCAGGAGGTGACTTATGTTCTTATGACGCGTTGTAAGGATCGGGAAACTGTTTAGGAGGGAGGAAATAAAGATGTGGAGGAGGCTTTGGCAGGAAAAACGTAACAAGGTGGGCGGGGGGGCCCTACATTGGAAAGGGGGTCCTTGGAGCTGTCATTCAGCTGGGCCAGGAGGTTGAAGGTCAGGCTGTGGCAGTTCACCAGGAAGCGCGGCCAGCTCCTTTCCTCAAAGGGTTGGATGTCTACCTCCAGTCCGGAGAAATCGAGCCTCTAGAAGAGAAAAAGGGCGAAGGATTATTTTCCCACCTGGATCAGGTGCAGACAGGTAGAAGAAAACCGTCGCAACGTTCATGTTTGGAAAGGAACGGCAGATGGCACATCTTTCAGAAATATCTTCCCTCCCTTCCTTCCCTCCCTCTCTCTCTCTCTCCCTCCCTTCCCTCTGCTTCTCCTTCCTTCCTTCTTTCCTTTTCTTTCCTTTTCCTTCCTTCCTTCTTTCCTTCCTTCCTCCCTGTTCCTGCTTCTCTCCTTCCTTCTCTCTCTCCCTCCCTCTACTTCTTCCTTCTTTCCTTTTCCTCCCTTCCTCCCTCCCTCTTTACTTCTGCTTCTCTCCTTCCTTCTGATTCTCCTTCCTTCTTTCCTTCCTTTTCCTCCCTCCCTCCTCCTTCCTTCCTTCCTTCCTTCCTTCCTTCCTTCCTTCCTTCCTTCCTTCCTTCCTTCCTTCCTTCCCTCCCTCCCTCCCTCCCTCCCTCCTTCCTTCCTTCCCTACCTGTCAGCCATGCTGTCCCCCCAATCTAAGCCCCTCCATCCCCGAAAGGGTTACCTGCACTTCTGGATCAAAAGAGAAGAGGTTCTGCCTGCCTTCGCTGCGGCTGAGTTTGCTGAGCTGCTCCGTTTCTCGGCCGTACTGAAAGAGAAGAAACATGAGGCCGCGATCGGTGGGCACCGGGGGAAGCAAAATACTCAGGCACAGAGCAGAGGAGGGAGCGAAAACTTTGACAGAGAGAAGCTGGGAAGGAGGGGAGGCCACACCTGTGGGGCGGGACCCCCAGGCCCACCAGGTTACCTTCATCAGCTCTGGGTGCAGGCTCCTCCCCAAGCTTTCCAAGATGTTCTCCAACTTTCCATGGCTGCTGGACTCATCATCTGCAAAGTCACAAAAAGCAGACGTGGCAGAGGCACCTGGCTAGAAGAGGCGACGGTTGTCCTCTGGAAGACCCGGGAGGCTGCTGGGATGGAGGGCAGGGAAGCCGGCCAGGAGTTTCACATCCATGAATCCAGCCGCTCACAGACGCCACAGGGGGGCCTGGCTTTTTCCCCCGTCAGTTTCGCCCTTCTCTGTTCTGGGAACTGCTTTGGATGCAGCCCAGCAACACAAGCCCCAAAGAGGCTCTGTGTGTGTGTGTGAGAGAGAGAGAACGGATGTCGAAGCAAACCACTTTAAGAGGGGAAACTCTGCAGTTTTTGGCACGGTGATTCTGCTGAACTTGAAAGGGATCTTGAGAAAAGCTTGTCTTAAGCAAGCCACGGAGGTGAGGGGTTGAAAACAGAACGTGTGTGCAAACAGTATCAGATCTGAAGCAGCAACAGTGCTTGGATCCACCAGGAGATCCACCCACCACCATTTTCCTTCCTACCGCATGGCTGTGGTTACGTCAAGACCTGTCTCCACCCACCCCCATCTCCCTTCTCTTCTGTGTGTGTGTGTGTGTGTGTGTGTGTGTGGTTGCGTCAAGAGCCGCCTCCATCGCAGGTCCTCACCAGGCAGGAACTCGGCCGCCTCCTTCTTCTCCGGCCCCAGGCCCTCCACGTTGGCCTGGATGACCTTCCGCAGAGTGGCCAGCCAGTCCCCCATCTCCGACTCCGTTTCCGCGGCCAAGTAGTGGCTGTACTTATCCAGCATCTTGAGCTCAAAGGCGTTTCGGCGCATCTTGGGGCACTGGGGGAAGAAAGGCAAGACACCAGAGGTGGGATTCAGCCGGATTGGACTGGTTTTGCAGAACCGGTAGCAGAAATTTTAAGTAGTCCGGACTTCTGACTGGCCTCACCCCCACCTATTCTCTGCCTCTGCACATGTGTGTGCATCTCCGCCATCCCCCACCCGCCGCACTAGATACCTGACAATCAGCTGTTGGGTGGTGGCGGGTGCATGCATGCGCAGTTTGCCTGATCTGGGGTGATGGTGACTTCTGGCACGTGTGCCATAGCTTTGCCATCACGGGTATAGTGCAATATTGGGAAGGGTATCCTGCGATCCCAGATAAAAAGTGATCGATCGGTAGGAAAACAGGGTGGGGAGTTTTCCTGCAGACTTTTGGGGGATTTTCTCAGGGTCTCTGGTCCGTGGGATTTAAAATTACGAGTTTGGGGGTCCCTGAGGTCCAAAAGGTTGACGACCCCGATCTACACGATGCTGGTTCATAAAACCAGCCGAGTGTTTTCCGGTATTTTGTTTTCTTGCTTTCCTTTGCTTGAACTTTGGTTGAATGTTATTTCCCAGTAACTGGGGAGAAATAAATTGACTGACAGGAGACAGACAGACAGACAGACAGACATTAGATCCATACCAGATCCTCTCTAGCATGAATCTGCCTCTGGCCTTACAAATTCTCCAGCAAAACTTTTTGCAAGTCCTTACCTGCACAACATCTATGCAAGAATCCAGGAAGATGCATCCTTTGGATTCCTTGGAAATCTTCTCATCTTTGTAGGAATTGAGGATGTAAGAGCCGTCTGGAAGTTGGGTCAGGTAGAAGTACCTTCTCTTGAACACCTGAGAAGAAGAAGGAGGAGAAGGAGAAGGAGGAGAAGGAGAAGGAGAAGGAGGAGAAGGAGAAGGAGAAGGAGAAGGAGAAGGAGAAGAAGAAGAAGAAGAAGAAGAAGAAGAAGAGAAGGAGGAGGAGGAGGAGGAGGAGGAGGAGAAGAAGAAGAAGAAGAAGAAGAAGAAGAAGAAGAAGAAGAAGAAGAAGAAGAAGAAGAAGAAGAAGAAGAAGAAGAAGAAGAAGAAGAAGAAGAAGAAGAAGAAAGAGGAGGAGCTCACTGTAGGAGAGCTCCATTCTGCTCATTTCTACCCGAGATACAGTTCCAAAATCTTGAATGTCAGGCGAAGTAAAAGTACATTAAAACAAGCAATTGTGGCACTTTCTATACAGGGGTTATAGAAGCAAAGCAGCCACAGCTGAGATTATGGTTTCGGTGGCCTTCTCGATCTGGTCTACAGACCACCCAGGACCTGCGTTCTGTGCCTCTAACTTCATCCCTTCTCAGGCAGCTCGATTCCCCCAGGAGTCACGGAGGCATTTTTTCCACCCAGAACAAACCGAGCTCCTTTAGAACCCATTTTCCTCTTTTCTCTGCAAAACGAAACCCAAGTGCTCCCGTCTTACTTTCATGGTCACCGTGATGGTACTGTTGACATTGGCCTTGTACAGCCAGCCTTGCCGGATCACCCCACCTTTTTGGGAGCAGAGGGAGGAAGCGTCCTGGAAGACGGAAGAGACAAAACTATTGCAAGGAAAAGGGACCAAGTGGTACAGCTCAATGAAAGTTCCCCCCCGCCCCACAAATGTCTTTAGGAGTGGCCGTGTTGGTGGTAGCTGGATGCAGCCGATAGTAAAATATATCATTCATTTTCCCCTTGACCCTGGTCTTCCCCCAACCCCCTGGATGTGTATTCTCCAATGGGACACCTCCATAGCCAAGAGTCATCCATCAGGTGATTATCTAGGCCCTTAAGGAATGCACTGTTTTCCCCCACTCCCCTTTTTCTGGCAGCTAAAAAGACCAAAGGAGTCTCTTTTCAGTTGACAGCAGACTTTGCGCTGCGTTGTGTCTCTTTATGGCGCCCGGTGGGAATCTCTAGTGCATCCTCTCACCTCGTCTTTATCAAAGTCTTCATCAGTTTCAAAGACGTGGCTCGGAACCTTCTCTGGCCTGAAGGATTTGCTGAAGGAAGAACAACAGGTTTTACTCAAGTTACACCATAATTAAAAAAAAAAGAGGTACTAATAATTAACGAAGGAAAGGGTATCCCTGAAGGCTATTCTTGAGGCCAACTCACTCACGGGGTATCACGATTCTGAGGGATCCTGCCCAAGGATTCCTCCCCCAGTCTCAGTTGTTGGGTGGTCCACATTATATTATAGTAAACCCTTCATTGTTTAATTAAACCGCTCAGATTCTCAGAGGCCGGGGAGAAACACACAGGTTGGGCCCTGCAAAAGGCGGCGTTGTAAGTAATGTTCCCGCCTGCACATGCAAGACACATACACACACACACACACACACACACACACACACACCCCGGAGAAAGAAAGGCTCACCACGGTAGCATTCGGAAATCACCCGAATATTCGTCGTATTTGTAGTTCACCACATGCCAGTCTGAGCTGTAGGCTTTAATGCACTGGAAAGAAAATTAAACCCCAGCATTAACTGCATCCGTGGCAACAGGAGCAGCAGCGAAACTCAGCCCAAGGGGAACCACAGAATGCAAATTCCCTGAGGAGCAGCTAGGAAATTAGATGCATGAAGACGGTGTGTGTGTGTGTGTGTGTGTGTGTGTGTGTAAAGGGGGGCTCTGGCATTCTCCATCTCTGGGGGAGGGGAGGCAGCTGCCTTGGATTCCCCAGACTGAGATGGTGGGGGGACTGAGCTGGAAGGCTTGGCCAAGGTCTATAACAAGGGTCCCCAAACTTTAAATTGCCACAAGGCTTGTGGACTTCAACTCCCACAATTCTCCAGCCAGCAGAGCTTGCTCTCTTGTAGTCCCTTCCTCTGCAATCTCTCCCCACTTTTAGGTTAAGAGAAAAAAGAAACAGGCACGGCTGGCTGGGGAATTCCACCAGTCTTAAAGCGGCCAAGTTTGGAGACCTCTGGTCTATAATCTGGCTTATCATGGGTACCTTTAAACCGTTTATTTAGTGACTGAAGTTACAACGGCACTGAAAACAGTAACCCAGGACCGTTTTTCACACTTAATGACCGTTGCAGCATCCCACCGGTCATGTGATCAGAATTCGGACGCTTGACCACTGGCTCTTGTTTATAACGGTCGCAGGGTCCCAAGAGCCCTTTGCCGACGAGCCAAGTCCACGGGGAAGCCAGATTCACTTAACAACCATGTGATTCACTTAACGACTGGGGCCGGTTGTGAAATGGGGGGAAGCTCACTTAGCAAGCGTCTTGCTTAGCAACAGAAATGTTGGGCTCAATTGTCATCGTAAGTCGGAGACCCCCCTGCACCACCTGGGGACTCACAGGAACGATGTAAGAGTCTGGATCCCTCCCTCGGGGGGGCGGGAATGCCTATTTATGGGCCGGATCTCCTCCCCCTCCCCTGGCCTTTGAGTTCTCAAGTGGGGCAGATTATAAGAGTCACTTCAAACGGTAAAAAGGACAAGATGCCTTTAAAAGCAGCACCGGAAAAATGATCATGACCACGGCGTAAAAATGCCGCCGCGCAGCCTAACCGTCGTCCTTTGGCTTTGTTTTTGCCCTCCAGAGAGTTATGCACGGAAGGGCGTGTTCAAAGGAAACGAAGCGCGTGACTTGCTTCCTCTTCTGAAGAGGCGGAAGTGCGGAAGCTGCCCTGCCAAAGCCGGGGCTTCCTCTTAGAGAGACTGACTACAACTCCCATCATCCTTCTCTAGCCAGGATGGCTGGGAGTTGATGGGAGATTTCAAGCATCCCTTCAGAGGGCCGAGGAGTGGAGAGAGCCACACAGGAAGTGAAGAGGACCCTAAAATGTACAGGAAGGGCCGTGGCTGAAAAAGCTGCGTTATTGCTCTGGTCTCCTCTCCAACAATTCACCTGAAATCTACCTAAAGTAGTTTGGAAAAAAGCAAATCAACCCCCTTCTCGGATATCAGGCGAAGGGAAAACTCTCCACCTCATCCACAAATTAGAGATGAACCTGCTGGTTTCATGTTATTTATTCACCCGATTTAGCTACCGACCTCCTCACTTTCGGAGAGACTCTCGCCGTCCCAAGGCCAGCGGTCCTTCTTCCCCCCCTTTCTGGCCATGACCAATGGCCCAATCTATGCACCCTCCCCCAAAGGGGTGCAGTGGCTCAGGGGCTAAGATGCTGAGCTTGTCGATCGGCAGTTTGGCGTTTCGAATCCCTGGCACCCGTGTAACGGAGTGAGCTACCTTTACTCCTGCCAGCCTAGTAGCTCGAAAGCATGTAAAAAAAATGCAAGTAGAAAAATGGGGACCCCTTTGGTGGGAAGGGAACAGCGTTCCGTGCGCCTTCGAAGGCGTTTAGTCCTGCCGGCCACACGACCACGGAGGCTTTGAAATGGAGAGGAGCACTGCCCCCTAGAGCCGGAAACGACTAGCACGGATGAGTGAGGAAAACATTTACTTTTACCTTTATGCCCCCCTCCCCAAGAAAGGAGTGGGGGGGGGTCTCACCTCTTGGACAAAGAGACTCTGGGCCTTCTTCAAAGCATCTTCTGGCACTGAGGAATGGACCGTTCTCCTCTGGCGATGGATAACCGAGAGCTGGAAAGAAAGTTGGTTGGTGATGCCAGAACGATTGAGGACCCCACTGGGTGGAAGGGAAGTTGGGGAGGGGTCTTCCCTTCCTGCTTGAGCTGGATTTCCCCCCCCACCCCAAAGCATCTAACTATCGAAGGCTTGGAGGGAGGGCAGATCCAGCTTCTGAACTTTAGGTTTTGACTGGACGGGACCTCCTTGGAGGTGGTCCCATCAGCACACCTTATAAGGAAAGGTGTCGACTCGTAAATCATTCGTATGCCTGCTCCCGAGTTGACATTTGAAGGAGGGAAAGGCCTGATGGAGCCGTGGGGCACATTCCATGCTTATCTTATGGAGACTGTAGCCTAAGCTATGGGACCTTCTGCCCGTGAAAATCTTTCATTGGAGAGCATGATGGATGACATCCAGCCCCTGAGCATGTTCTTGGTTGGAGAATCTGATGTATTACACACCCGGGGAGGGGGCAGAGGGGGGGGAAACAGGGTCACAGGTGACTGTCAATCTGGTGTGCCAGAGTCGGCTTCATATAGGTTAATGCCGGCAAGTTGCTCCTAATAAATCTTTTGGATTTTTTTGAAGCTGGGCTCGAGGCTCATGATTTAATTAGGGCAATTGAGGGAACCCTGACAAAAGGCTGTTTTTGAAAAACAATCTCTGCCCTCCTGAGGTTCACCTGTGGGATCCTTCTCAGCCGGTATCTCCACGGCCAAATATGGCACCAGACATGGTCCCAGAACCACCATGTGTCTCCTGGCCCATTTCTTTGGTGTGGGAGGCAAGGTGAAAAGATCACAGCCTGATAGGGGAAAAGAACTGGATTGGGAAGACCGGCCTGACCCCCCCACAGCGACGGGGAACAACTCACTGAGACATCTTCCATGGGAAACATGAGCAGGTCCCGGAAGGGATCGCTGTAGATCTGCGCTTTCCGTTGGCTGATCACATTCTCATAGTCCAAAGGCTGGCTCACCTTCGTTTTTTCCTGATGGGATACAGGGAAGACCACGTGCCTTGTTAGACCCACGGGGAGCACCAACGCCGTGAGAGGAGAACAGGCCCAAAACTAAGGGAGGAAATATGCGCTGCTCCCAGAGGCCACCATGGATCATGGCTTGCCATCGTGGTCTGATGGAGCAGGTCCCCAGTCACCTCACCCGATGTGGGAGATGGGAGTTGTAGTCCAAACCTTGGGCCAGGGGGCTACAACGGTGGCTACGTTTTCTTTAACTCGATGCCATGAAGCCCCTTTGGGTCTCCACCAAATAAATACACATACTGTCCATAATTGCCTTGCCTCCACCCGCTTTCTTTTCTTCCCTGGTTTTGGCAACTGGATCTTGCTTAGGGCAGAGAGTTGTGCCCTATTTTCTCTTTTCTGCAAAGTGCCAGGCGCTCTGATTAATCCGTGTTAAACCAACAAAGTGGTTTAGCAGTACTAATACGCCCTGGTGACTACAATTCAAATAATCTCCTACGAAAAGGGAGCCAGTTTCTTTGGGCGGAACGTTTTGATGCCAGGCGCAAGCCAGAAACCTTTGCCACCCATGTGTGCCCCCCCCCTTCTGCCTTTTCCCTTCTTGGACGAAACACGATGCTTGGATAATAAATTTGTCCCAGAGCAGTGGATTTGCCCATTCCGTGCCACCCACGAGGCAATCCTCTTTCCCTCTTTTGGGGCAGGTGCCAATGCCCTGGCTGCTGTCCACCCTGGCAAAAGAACAGGGCTGACCATGAGACAAACACGCGCTATTCTAGCCAGAAGGTCTTATTTGTATTTGCAGTGAAAAGCAAAGGAAAATCAAAGGAAAATAGCTAAGAAGGGTGGAAGATAACTTGCCCCCAAAATACCCTTTTCCAGCTGGGAGATTTTTGAGAGTCTAGACCGGTGTTTTTCAATCTTGGCAATTTTGAGGGATGTGGACTTCAACTCCCAGAATTCCAGAGCCAACAGCTGGCTGGCAGATGGCTGGGGAATTCTGGGAGCTGAAGTCCACCTTTCTTAAAGTTGCCAAGGTTGAGAAACACTGGCCCCACCACTGGCCAGTTAGAATGGCTACCGGTGAAGTTCAGGGTCATCCATTCAGCATCCAAGGAATGAAAGCAACCAGATCCCTGTGGATCTGAGCAGTAATCCTTGACGGATGGCGATTAGGCAGGTGTTTCGAAAAGGCTCCACCCAGGGAGGGTTTCACGGATTTTGGGGCTCGCCCTGGAGAACTCTCAGCCTGCAGAGAGGCATCTCTGCCAGAGGTGCCTGCTTTCCATTCTCCCCACAGCTCCGTGGAAGCCTTCAGGCCAGGACATTGTGGGTCTAAACCAGGGGTCCCCAAACTTTAAGACAAGTCTTAAAGTGGCCAAGTTTGGAGACCTCTGGTCTAAACTTGTGTCTTTTAACCTCGCCAACTTTAAGCTGGATGGATTTCAACTCGGATTAAAGTGGGCAAGGCTGCATAGCACTACACGGAAGTAATCATGATTCTTCTAACCTCCGTTTTTCTTACTCATGACTGCAAGAAAAATGAAGCGGAAGTGCTTCAGGAAGTGGCCAGTGTCAAAACATTTTCTGTGCCACCAGGAACATGTTTCAAAACTGCAGCTCCTCGGGTTCTTCGGCTACAGCTTTGCCTTCATCTGAAGCCCTGGGCCTGCCTTCGTCTCCACCACAATATCTCTTCCAAAAGGTATTTGCAGTTGCCGAAACGAAAAGCTTTCCAGCAGCCACTTAGTTCCTACTGGCTGGGGCATGATCTGGCGGATCCAACTGCAGACTTCTGGGACAACAATGCTTTTACCGGTCCATAAATGCATTTTTTTTTTTCCTTTAAGGAAAGGAAGTTAGCTCATCCATGTGGATCTGAAGAGGACACCTTCCATTCAATTCTGCAGTGCTGCGAAGGCTCACGAGTGGCCATTAAGATGAAAGTAATCTCCTTAATTGGCCCTTGTGCTATTATGGAAATCAACCTGCCTTTCCCCTTGCATCAAAAATGGCATCCATCAAAACTCTAAGTGGGGCTTCAGCACCTGAAAAAATTACTGGTCCTTTTGGATGCCTACTGAGGCCATTTGCAAGCTTTAAAAAAATAAAACAGGCTGCACAGAGAAGTCTTACTTCCATATTCTGCAAAGCTGCTTGAGCTCTGGGGGGGAAAGTAGGAGAAATGCAACGTAGAAATAATACAGATATAAACAGGGAGGCCCTTTTAGCAGCCCCAACTATTCTGCATAAAAAGGATGCAACTCGGGTTCTTGAGGAGGGCTCAACTAAGTATCTTTCGCTCTGGTTTAATCCTTGCTATCCTCAAAAGACATTTTTCATGAAGCAGCCTGAAAGGGCAGTCGCCCAAAACAGGTCGATTTCTGTCTCAATTGGGGATTTTAGGCTCATTTGTGCTTGTAAGTCGGGAACTACCCCTGGAGTGAACTTAGCTGGTTTCTACATGAGATGAGGTCCCACCAGTGCAGGGGTTTCTAACCTGGGCAACTTTAAAACTTGTGGGTCTTGAACTCCCAGAGTTGAAGTCCACAAGTCTTAAAGTTGCCCAGGTTGGAGACCCCTGCACCAGTGGGGGTTTCTAAAGTGTGGGTCAAAAGAATGGCAGCCAGGAAACAGCCACTGCCTTCTCCCCCCAAATCTTGGCTGGGTCGGTCTCCAGAGCCCCTCCAAACTGAGACAATTGGCGGGGCCCAAAAAACCCAACTTCTTAAATCATCAGCTGCATCAGTTTGGTCTACATTCACAACCTGTTTTGCCATCCCTGTTCAGAACAATTATCGTCTCCCTTCAGAGAACATCAAAGGAGATTTCACCCCAAAGTCATCATGCAGAGCTCAGACACGATCCCCTCTTCCTCCTCCCCACAGCACCCCCCAGACTTCACTTAAAGCAGGGAGGGAGCAGACTGAAATTAAAGCCATTAGCAGACAAGGGATCTCTCTCTCTCTCTCTCTCTCTCTCTCTCTCTCTCTCTCTCTCTCCCCCCAGAAGCAGGCTGGGGAAGGATAGTCGAACCAGGGAGGAGCAAAGAAGGGAAACAGGGATCCACCAGAGACCCATCACAGTCTCAGGAATCCGGTCTTCCGCTTCTTAATAAGACGTTATGGGTCACAGCCAAGATAGGAGGGGTCGGGAGCAGCTCTGTAAACAGACAGTCTTGGAGAGCCCAGAAAGCAGGCAGGGCAACAACCCTTTCTTCTAAATGGGAGGTGGGAAAGGTGACCTCAGGCCTAAAAAAATATATATATATATATATTTGCTTTATATATATATATATAAAGAGGCTCTTTTATGCTGGAAACCCCAGCAAAGTCTCCGGGGACAGCGTTGTGCAAGGGAGGAAAGCTTTTCGCCGAAAGGGCCAATTCCAGGTCAGAAGAGAAAGTTGGAAAGGGATATTCAGGAAGGGCAGCGAGCCAGAGAGAGAGAGTCATGGAACGGAAACGTGGGCGTTTTCTTCCTGTTCTGGAAGTACGGTAATGTCAGAAAATGTATTCATTATTTCTGATTTATACAGCTGCCCCCCAAAAAAGGACCAAAAGCCATCTTAAAACACATAAAACCAGGTAAAAAAAGCTAAATAAACCCACAGCTGAATATCTACATTCCACACGACTATTGTATAAGCTTGATTACACACGCAAGTCCTTGAAACTCTGTCCGTCTCTGTGTATGTGTGTTGTGTTGTGTGTGAGCTCATCCTGTTAATTGTGGCTAATACAACAGTCCAAGCATCTGTTTCACAAGAGGTTAGGATCTCTCTCCCGAATCCCTCCACAAACAAAACGACTCTTCCCTCCGGCTGCTGGTTATTTCCAAAGGACTCCAAAGCCCATCATTTAAGGCGGAGAAAAGAGCCAAAGGACCTCCCGTATCATTCTGGGCTGGGGAATTCTGGGAGTTGAACTCTGTACAATGCTTAAAGTTGCCAGTTTTGAAAGGTAAAGTTTTAGGCTGCTTTGATTTGATTTCAACCGACTGGCATACATTCTAAAGGACCCCATTTCAGTCAGACACATTTTATGTTGCATGGGTGCAAGCAAGCAAGATCCCTCTCTTCATCTGCGTTGCTTCTAGTATTTTAAATAAACAATCTTGGAAACTCCTCCACCCTCTTAGGGTTGTGCTAGGCAGCTCATCTAAAAATACTTGATTCTATTTGGAAAAGTTGCCCCAAGACAGACTTATCGATTACAACTCATAAGCAGGTAGCTTGCTTGCTTGTTTGGCCATGTTCTTGGCGAGCCATCTGTTCTTTTTGAATGATTTTATCAGAAGGTGGTGCCGGGAGAATGACCAAGCACAAGATCAAAGAATCACCGTCTGACCCCCAGGTCAAGTTTGCAAGCGGCTGCCCCATCGAGACAAGAGCTGGGCTGAAACCTACATTCATTCCGCTTTTGACCGAAATCCCATTCAATGAGGCCCCAAGTAAGACAAGCATCCCCCCAAAGGAGTTTTCTTTCATAGCATCTGCTGGGCACCCCCGGGGCATGTTACCATCTGCCTCTCAGGCTCCTTGGAGCTGAGCCAGGCCCCGACGCTGCTGGATGGAGATGCAACACGGTCTCTGCACATGGGCGAAGGCTCTGTGGCCCTGGATGTGCAGGATCGGAAAAGCGGGCCCTTGGCCACCTCTAGGAAGTGCCAAATTCTGCTTTGGGTGTTTTGGCCCAAAGAACCTGCCCACCCATCCTCAGTCGGCGCTTCAGAAGACGGCCGTGGGGATGCCAGCGCCGCCAAAAACCAACCCCCGGGCCAGCTGTGGGCTACGTTTTCCACTTCCTGCCTGGCAGAGGCTGCAAGAGGACGCGGGAGCCTTGTGACTGGGCCTCCCCTGGCAGCCCTGCCGCCTGGGCTCTGGAGGCCCCTCCAGGGGTTTGGGTTTAATTGGGCCTTTGTGGGGTTGGGGGCTGCCTGCCTCCCCTCCCCAAACCTGCCACGTGTCAGTGAGGAGCGGATGCCCTTCTGGGGCCGAGATGGTGGCCAAGGCCAGGGCGGGGGGGGGGGGGGGGGGGGGGGGGGGGGCGGGGGGGAGGTGGAGGGGGGAAGCGTGAAGGAAGTGGGGCATCCTTGGAAGGACTGGCCACACCCGCGGAGCCTGGGCCCTTCCTTGGCCTGCTGCCTCCCAAACGCCCTTTTCCCCACTGGAAGGAGGAAGCTGGGGGCGGGGGGTGGGGGTGGAGGGTCTTCAAAGCAGCTTTGAAGGGGCTGCAGGTAGGAGTGAAGGGGGAAAAAAGGGGGTGTGTGTGAATTAGCAGGTGCATGACAAGAGGAGAGACCATCCCCCCCCCCCATCAAGCGGGAGTCCAGGGTGCTGGATCCGCCCAGCTGGATCGAGGCCTCCGGGTGGGCTCGCCTCGAGATGGCCAACAGCTTCCAGGAAGGGGGGGCGGGGGGCGGGGGGCGGGGGGGCCCCTTTCCAGATCCCTCTGGCTCTTGGATGCTCAGCCCCACCGACGCCCAGGCAGGGCTCCAACAGCCCGGATCCGGAGAGGGAGCCCGGTGGGCGGAGGCGCGTCGGGGACGGAGGGAGCCCGGCGGGGAGGGAGGGGAGGGGGGGGGGACCTCCCGGGGGGGGGGGTGGGCGTTCCCACCCGCAGCCGCCCGACAAGGAGGGTGGGGGGGTCCTCGGGCATCCGCGGCGGGCCAAGGGCGGCGCTGCCCCCCCCCCCCCCCCTCCCCTCCCTCCCGCCCGGCGCCCCCTCCCCGCCGGCCCCCCCCCCCCCCCCGCAGCCTCGGTCGGGGGACGTCCCGGGAGCAGCGGCGGCGGCGGCGGCGGCTCTCCTCCCCGCCCGGCCCCGCCTCACCTGCGCCGGGGAGCTCCGCACCGCCTCGGAGACGCTGTGCCGCAGCTCGGCCGCCGTGCCGGGCTTGCTCAGCCGCTTGGTGAACTTGCGCACCTCCGCCGCGGCCATGGCCGGCCAGCCCGCGGGACAAAGGCAGAGCCGGGCGGGGCGAGGCGGCGGCGGCGGCGGCTGCGGCTGCTGCTGCTGCTGCTGCTGCGGGCGGAGGGCTCCGAGCGCCCCCTGCCTGCCTGCCTGCCTGCCTGGCCCGGCCGCTGCCCCGCGCGCCCCGCTCTCCCTCCTGCGGCCCGCTGGGCGGCTGTGGGCTCCGGTGGGCGGGGCCGGTGGGCGGGGCCGTCCCCGCGGCAGGGCGGGGGTCCCGCGGGGAGGGAGGGGCGGGCGCCCGGCCAGGTGAGGAGGCAGAGCCTCCGCCCAGCCCTCCAAACCCCCCCCTCCCCGTCCTCCTCCCGAAAGCCGGGATCCCGCGAGGATGTCAAGGGACAGGTGGGGAGGAACCCCCCCCCAACACCCGTCCTGCAGGTGTTTCTGCTCAGAGGCTGGAAGGGCCGATAAGGCTCATTTGGGAAACTGGGCAGAAACGGGGTGGGGGTGGGGGGGGCACAAAAGACCCGGAACCAAGCGGGGCTTCCATTCTGGAGAAGTTGGGCTGGTTAAAGGTTTTGGAAAAACTCTGCCCCTCCAAAGTTGGGGTGATGGTGATGGAAAACAGGGAGCAAAACGGACCGACTTGGGGCCAAGCAAAAACCTTCATACTGCTACCTTTTGTGTGTGTGTGTGATTTTAAAAATAATACTACAAACGCCGGCGTTTTTCTCAGTGTGACCCATCTTTAATAACACTCCTTTGTTTTCTCAAGCAGCTGCCACCTCAACAACCTTCCTTGCAGGTTTTCACCCCTGCACGAGGGTTGCCTCATTGGTATTGTTGTACAAATATTTACAAAGCCTTTTTTAATTCAGTTTTAACTCTAAACAAGGGTAATGAAAAACAAACAAACAAGAAAACTTAAAACTACAATATTTTTTTAAAAAATATGTAAACAGATTTTTTTAATTTTTATTTTACATCCTTTGTAAAATATAAGAATTGTTCCTAATGGAGCCGAAGTTGCTTTAAAGTGAGCGCAGGATCCCTGTGCCTGGGATTAAGGAATGAGAAACGCTTCCGTAGAAATATTGTGCTCCAATGTGCAAACAAAGAGGACAGAACAGAACTGAGAGTGCACAACAAGTGAGAAGACCACAGAAGTTCCACGTTATAAAACACCGAAACGAGGGTGCCACTAATCCAAAAGGCCTGGCCAGAAACGCGGCTCCGTTAGGGGAAAATTTTAAAAATAGATCAGCTTCTGCAGGCCATGAGATTCGGGGGCTGGGAGGGGAACTTACTTTGTGCAATTGCAAAAGAATCGGGGCGCCACTGAATCACCTACATGTTCACCTGGTCAAAGCTGTTCCTGGGTGACCCCCCCCCCCAAGAAGGAACATCCCTGCGCATGAATTATGTCGCTCTACTTCCCACGCAGGATTATTCTGCACCCGATGCATTAGGTAGCAGCAGAATTATTTGCAAAATCGCAAAGGCTCATTTTTCTCATTTTCAGCCAGGCCGCTGGCCGCTCTTCCCTTTCTAATCTAAAAAGCAGTTGGGGAGGGAAGGGCTTAAATGGGGTGGGGGGGGGAGGAACACTGCCTTTTGGGGGGAGCTCCAAGTACAGCAGCCGTAGAGGAGGGAGTTTTAACTTGATAAGCCAACCTCCAGCGCCAGATTCTGCGCTGTGTCACCAAAGCACAAGATTCGCACCCGGGCACCACCATCGCGAGGCCACGGAGCGGCTGGCGGCTCTTCAGGAGAGACTTTTCTTTTTGTTGATAAAGACTTTGATGGCTCCGGTGAAATCGGCCGAGAGGAGCACCTCCGTGTGGTCGGCCTTCAAGGCGCCTTGAAAGACAGAAGCAGCGGCTTTAGAAAAGGGGGCAGAGGAACGGAGGGGGGTGGGGGGAATAAAAAATGTTCACTAGCGGTTCTACGGGCGTGGCTTGGTGGGCGTGGCAGGGGAAGGATATACCGCAACATCCCCCCTTCCCCCCCACCTCACTGACCTGCTTTCCAGCTCCGTTCTCCTATGCAGGGCAACCAAAGGAGACCCAGCCGATCAGCTGGGACTCAATGGGAGGCAGAGAAGAGACGGGGTTGGCGGAGCCAGTCAGAGGGGGGATTGGCTGGTTCTGTAGAACCGGTCAGAACCGGCTGAATCCCAGCTCTGCAGAGGAAGGGGGTGCTGGCAAAAGACCCTCATTTGGGAGCCTCTACGTGAGATCCCTAATTCCGCTCCAGGAAGCGAAGAGGAGGGAAAGGACCCGGGGAGAGAGGGACACCCCCCCCTCCATACCCCCTGCAGACCTAGAGACGGTGGGGGATTGTCTAAAAATTGGGGGGGGGGAGATCTGTGTGGCCAGGTTTTCCATTTTTCTCCCTGGATTTTGGAGGGAGCATTTTGGGGAGATGTTTTCTCTCCCCAACACAACCAGCTGCCTTCAACACCCCCCCACCCCCCCCGGATGAAATCCCTCTGGACCGAATTCGGGCGTTGGGGATGGGAAGCCCTGAGCTGTGCCGGTTCTCCTCCTTCCTTCGGGGCCGGTTCCAGTTGGTGCTGATGGGGGGTGGGGTGTGGGGTTCAGGCCGGGGGTCCCCCTGTGGAGGTGCCACGGGACGGGGTCCTCTCCCCTGCCTTGCTTAACACCCCCAGGAGGCTGCTGGGGGAGGAGAGCAGAAGCTACAAGCGGGGGCTGGGAAAACGGGGGCTCCGTGGCCTGGTGGGTTCAGGGAGCCCCGGCCCTGGGGGGGGGGGCCTTCCTGGACACCTACCGGAAGGAATGGGGTCTCCGCCCTCCGAGTCTTCGCTTTGGCTTTCTCCTGGGGGCTTCTCTGCTGTTTCGCAGGAGACCATCAGGCCGGGGTTCGGGGCGAAAATGGCGGAGGTGACCACAGCGTTGTGCGCTGGAAAGAGGAGGAGACCCGTGAGGAGCAATCTCGGAGGGAGGGAGGGAGGGAGGGAAGGAAGGAGGGAGGGCAGAAGAGAGAGAGAGAGAGAGAGAGAGAGAGAGAGAGAGAGAGAGAGAGATTTTCTGCCCAGTGGTGGTGTGCACAGACCAGGTCCAAGGCAGAGTTTTCGGCTGTGTTCTTCTTCCGCATGGGGATTTTATTCTGCATATCCTCTAGGAAAGCTTTTGGCCAAGGGGTCTCCAAACTTGACAGCTTTAAAGACTTGCGGACTTCCAACTCCCAGAATTCCTCCTCCAGTCATGTTAGCTCAGGAATTCTGGGAGTTGAAGTCCACCCGTCTTCAACTTGCCCTGTTTGGAGACCCCGGCTCTTGAGCTTCCTGGATTGCCTTAAACCAAGGTATCTCAACCTTGGCCACTTGAAGACGGGTGGACTTCATCTCCCAGAATTCCTGAGCTGACAGGACTGGAGGAGGGATTCTGGGAGTTGAAGTCCACCCGTCTTTAAAGCTGTCAAGCTGGAAGAGCCTTGCTTTTGACCTGGAGGGCAACTCAAGAGTTATTTTAAGTGACTCTTTAGCTTCTCCAGAAAGGTCACCAAGTATGGAATAACACTGCAGCCCCTCTTTCCCCAAATATTCCCCCCCCTTGGCCCCCAGCTGTTTCCACCTCTGGATTTAACAAGCCGATGGTTGCAACCCGTTTCTTGAGGCTCCTGGACAGTGATGGGCCAATTCCTAGACCAATACCCACGACACCTAAAGCCCACCCTCCCCAGAGCGTGTTCAGGGGGCCCGAGGGGTGGGCACCTCGGCTTTACCTTTGACCCCCTCCCAGAAGTCGTTGCGGTCCCTCCTGACGGAGGAGAATTTGCTCAGGTCGTGGTAGGTGCTCCAGATGTAGACGTACTTGTCTTCCGAGCCGCTGACGATGTAGGTGAAGTCGTGGCTGGAGACGGAGAGAGGAGAGCCCTTCGCTTCCAGATCACGGCCGCCTCTCCAGGCCCCACCTCTGAGGAAGCCCCGTCAAGGCCAGCAGGCCTCGGGCTCCGGATTTAGGAGGTGCTGCCCCGGCCCTTCAGCCAGGCGCCCCGGCCCGGCCCTCCCTGCTTTCCTTCCGGACCCTTCTTCCTCACCTGAAGCTGGCTTTGATCTGGCTGCTGCTGTTGACGTAGCCCTTGTACTTCATGGAGAGGGACAGGTCCCGCAGGTCGTAGAGCCGGATGCGCGAGTCGTTGGAGGTTACCAGGATCTTGTTTTCACCCGGCAGGGGCTCGATCCCGGTGATCTTCCTCCCCACTCGATTCCGTCCCCTGGTCGACCGCACGTGGATCTGAGTGTGGTACTTGAGATGCTGGAGAGAACCACAGGGGGAAGAAGGGAGGATTCACAGGCGCCCCGAGGTACCAAAGAGGACCACGGCAGACGCGGGCCCTGCGGAGGTCCCGAGGGGAAAGGCCACGGGGTCAGCGGTGGCTTCCGGAGGGGTCCCAGGGGCTCACCTCCGTGTCGTAGAAGATACACCGGCCATCGTAGGTGCCGATCACGGCGTACTTGCCATTCTGGCAAAAGTTTGCAGCAGTGATCAGCTTGGTCTGTCCGTCCACCTCGTTCCAAAGGGCCACTTTTTTGTCAGGAATGTTCCAGAGCCGGAGCTTGCCGTCCAGCGAGCCGCTTAAGAAGTATCTGTCGTCCTAAAAAGGGGGCCAGAAGAGCCCTTGTGACTCGCTTGGGTATGCCGGATCTCTCCCGCTCCCTCCCAGGGTTCGCAAGCCCGCTTTCCGCACGGAGTGGGTTGAAGATGCAGCGCCACGTTAAAGAAACTGACCCTGGGATGGAAGGCGATGGCAGTGACGAAGTCAATGTGCTGGAAGCAGCAGAGGCATTCCCGCCGGGATATGTGCCAGAGCCTGACGGTCTTATCCATGGATGAGGAGAGCAGGAAGTAATTCTGTGGAACAGGAAGCAAACGGGGGTGGGGGGGGGGGCGTTGATTTCTGGGGTGCCCAAACTACAGAAGGAAGTTTATTTGTGTATTTATCAAACTTCTCCGTCACAGAAGGAATGGAAGACGGGGCCCTGGAGGCTTGCAGCCTCAGCCAAAGAAATTACAGGAGCGAAATAAGATTTCATCTGCACCAATAATGGGGGATTGATAACTGAGAAAGGGAATATTCACAACTGGTTGTCAGGGTTCCGGTGATTGCCCTGATTAAATCATGAGCCTCGAGCCCAGCTTCAAAAAAATCCAAAAGATTTGTTAGGAGCAACATGCTGGCATTAACCTAAATGAAGCCGACTCTGGCATACGTGACTTACAGTCACCTGTGACCCTGTTTCCCTCCTGGGCATGTCATAAATCAGATTCTCCAATAAAGCACCTTCACAGGCTGGGTGTCATCAATCACGTTCTCCAATGAAGGATTTTCCGAGGGCAGAAGATCCGGTAGCCTAGCTACAATCTTTGTAAGATAAGTGTTGGAATGTGCTTCTGGTTTTAAACTGCCATACTGCTCCTTCAAATCCCCGGGTTCATGGCAACTCAAAAACAGGCCTAGGAATGTTTTACGAGTTGCCACTGGTTTTGGAATCCCCAAAATAATCAGGGTTGGAGGTAAACCACAATGGAACATTTCTGATCTCTCCTCCCCCTTGTTTGGCGAAAAGGAAGGGTGCCGGGTCAGGATTTTATAGTTGTCCAAGAAACCATCAAAGATCTTGGAAGGACCAGACAATACCCAAGTGCAATTCCCCAGCGAGATCACAACTGCTTTAAATCGTGAACAGCAAGAGGAAACGGGATCCTCCCTTACTTTAGACCAGGACAAATCCAGGAGGTCAGCCGTGTGCCCTTTGTATTTGCAGAACGGCCGCTGCCGAAACGGGGTGCTCTTGTCATCGGGGTCCTCGTCGGTCCCGCTGCACACCTGGAAAACAGGTTGAAAAAGAATGACAGGAGAACCTCCCAACCGGTGACATCCCCGTCTCCTCTTCCTGGAAGGAGGCAGGGAGAGCAGCCTCCTCCACTGCCCTCCCACCCCCCAATTCCTGGTCGTTCCCACCGAAGACAACTGATTTGAGCGCCTGCAACTAGACGAGGAAAAGCGGTGGTGCATTTTGAAGCCATGTTCCTCTCTGCAGCCCTGGGTTTTCTCGGCCTTGGCCACTTTAAGAGGCGTGGACTTCAACTCCCAGAATTCCCCAGCCTACTGGGGGAGGGGGGCTGCGAAGAGCTCTTTCAAGGCCGAAGGAGGAACACCAAAGGATAGAAACTCCAGGAAGGCCCCCCCCCCGGCCCCCAATATTGTGGGCACAGCCGCCTGACTCACCCCCGTATCGTTATCCGACTTGGCCGAGTTCAGACTCTCCTGAGACGGGGAGGGGGAGACGCGGCCTGGAAGGCAAGACAGGAGAACCACTGAAGGGGGCTTCTCCAAAAAGCCGCCGCCTTCCTACTCCAGCTGAGCAGGTTGGCTGCCCGGCTGCCCAGGGAAGAGGCCCGGCAGACGAGGGCGGCACCTTCTGAGTTGTACTTCATCCTCATGTTGTTGAAGTAATCGAAGGCCGTCTTCAGCACCCAGATCCGCACCAGGTTGTCCTGCCCCGCGGAGGCCAGCAGCCGGCCGCAGTGCGAAAACTTCATGGTCCAGACAGCCCCCTGTCCGAAACGGCAAAGGTGCCTTAATGAGCCCCAAGGAGGGCACACGTGCAAGAGGCCCTCCGGCCAGACCACCTTGGGGGGAGGGGGGCTGGGGCTCACCATGTGCTCCCCGCTGAGATCCTGAACAACTTTCACTTGCTCGAAGTCATACGGCCCCTTGAAGCCGTGGGCGGCTTTGAACTTCACCGGCCGGGTGTACGGCATGCCTTCGTCATCGCTGGACGACGGGTCATCTTGATCCGTGTGGAAGACTGGGAAGAGAGAGAGAGCAGGTGGGGACATGGACCCTATTGTACGCGTTTATGCATCCAATTATTGTATTTTATCCTAGAACTGTTGCATTTTACCCTGCTCTTATTTTAAATTGTTTGTACAGAATTTTATTGGTCATCCATGTTTGAACCTTGCATGTTGAAGGCTAATCAATCAATAAACTTGGTCCTCTCACAATGACAGACTCCAGAGGCAGTCAAAAGGCTGGCAAAATGGAAACCCGGACCTTTACACACACACCAATACACAAACACACACACACACACACTTAAATAATTCTGCTTTTAGACAGCACTTTTGGATGCAAAACATGGCAAGAGGGGCACGGAAGCTGTTCTGTGCCAAGGGGAGGGATTTTCCCTGTCTTGGCCCCGGAATGCCAAGACTGCAACAAGGGTGTGTGTTTGTGTGTGTGTGTGTCTTGCAAAACCACTGGTGGGCCCTTCTGGCAATATTTCAGCCGTTCCTGCAGACTTTAGGTAAGAGGGTTTCACCTGTGCAGCCGCGGGAAGTGGCGGGTTCTGTATCTCAAAGGCAGCGGAGTTCATAAATCCAGCCCTGTCTCTCTGCCCCTCCCCCCTTTTAGGATTTAAAAGCCCCCCCCCCCGCCTCACCCACCTTCGTCTCGGACGCTCTTCACTTTGTTGACAGCCCGTTCTCCATACTCCTCCGCCAGATGCCGGGCCCTCTTGACCGATTTGCCCAGGAACTTTTTCAGCTGCGTCCTTCGAAAGGCGGAAGAAGAGAAACCCCTTGGCCTCCCGCTTTCCTCAGCCAAGGCCTCCGAGAGCTACGCTCCTTTCGGAGAGCCCCGTGCGCCAGTCCCCACTCCACCACCGCCTGCTCCGATCTTTGAGGGACGGGCTTGCGGGGCAAAGCTACGCCTGGAGGGATTTGGACGGAAAACCTGGACGCCCGGCTTCTCTGCCGCGACTGCTTTGAAACCTGGGCCTGCTTTGGAAGGTGTGGGTGTGTGTGGGGAGGGGGAGGCAGGGCTTGGGGAGAGGTCTGGTTGGTAGGCCACTCCTTGCATCCTTGAGAAAATTGGGGGACCCTCCAAGAAACGAGGACAGAAACGGCAGGAGCGAAACATCCCTGAAAACGGGATTCCTGGTTTGCAGGCCGGAGCCATTTCGGTCAGTCCTGACTGCGCCCCCTTTTCCAGAAAGAGCAGAGCCCCCCCCCCCGTTCACCCCAGGAGCCTCACGTTTTCTGCTTCAAGCGGCCCCCGTCGGTGTCGCTCTGCTGCAGCTGCATTTTGTCTTCATCATCCGACTGGGCCCCGTCGTTACTGTACAAGGCAACCGGGAGAATTCAGTGTTAGTGACCGAGGGCCCAACTTTGGGGGGCACTGAAGGGGGAGGCTGCCCTGCCTGCTGTGTGCCAGGCTCAGCCTTGCAAGGCACGGAGGGCACCGGGGGCCGCAGGAGAGCCTCGGCTGACCTTCAACCTTTTTCTTAGCGGCTGTGAGCAGTACCGGAAGGCCCATTCATGCGCGTGGGCAGCCGCTGGGCGGGGCAAGCCAGAGAAACGGGCGGGAGGTCCCAGAAACAGCGCGAGGGCATCCCCGTACCTGACGTATTCCTTCGTCCGCCGCATGATATGCAAGGTCAGGGGGTTGATGCCCGTGGGCAGCTTCTCCTCCGCCAGGCTCAGGGGAATCTCCTCGCCCGTGTCCAAGTTCTTGATCATGACGCTGGCCAGGATCTCCTAGAGGGCGGGAGAGGCGGCAGCCGTGAGCTGTATCGCTTTGGATCTTCCCAGGGGGGGCCGTGGAGGGCCAGAGGTGGACTCGGGTCAACGGGCATCGAAGGGGTAAACCGGAGGGGGAGGGGCCCTTCCGGCAACCACAAAGAGCCGCTTTCCTTTGCCTAGAGGGGCTCCCAGCTGCTCCCAGGAGAAACCTTCCCATTGGGGGTTCGCAGGGGTTCAGGGGAGCCCCTAACTAAGATCCTGTGCAGTTCGGAGAACCCCCAATTCCCACTCCTGGCTGGCCCCGCCCACCCTGCTCCTCCCCTCCCAGGAGTCCCCACATGGCCCGTTTTGGAGGCAGGTAAGTGCAGGCACACACGGAGGTACGGGGAGGCCCAAAAATGGGCCTCCTGGAAGTTCAGGAAGGCCGGAAATGGCTCCATCTCCAGCTTCCAAAGAGCCTCCGGAGCCCAAGGAGGGCAAAAACACCGCCACCCACCCCCGCCGCGGTGCAGGAGGCCGACTAAGCCACGCCCACCATGGCCACGCCCACCCAGCAACTGGGCAGAGAACCCCTTGCTGACATTTTTGAAGCCCAGTCCTGGACCCAGCTCTGCGGGAAGCACGGCTGGGAAGAGCCCTGCCTGAAGCCCGCCAGCCCCAGCCAGGACCTGTCCGCAAAGGCAAGCGGCCTACCTCGTCTGTGAGTTCTCGGCCCGAGTTTGATCGGGGTCTCTGTGGTCCAATCACTTCGCTTAACACCACCTGGCCGTCCGCCGACTTCCCGTTCTCCTGCAACGACAGGAGACGCGTGAAATGCAAAACTGAAAAGAGGAGGGAGGGGGAGCCTCCCCCCTCCCCCGTCCTGCAGTGCTGCGAAGAGGATCCGGGCAGATGCCAGACCGGAACACTAGAAAGTGGGGGCTTCCCTTTCTAAGGCTTGCAATATGGTGGCTTCCTACTTTTGCAACCCGCGCAGAGGGGCTGCAATTCTCCCCAGGCTGGGGAGGGAGCACCCCTGACCAGATTACAGATTCACAGAGTTGGAAGGGACTTTGTAGGTCATCTAGTCTAACCCGCCCCCTCGCCCAAGCAGAAGGCCCTACACCATTTCCGACAAATGGCAGTCCAATCTCTTCTTGAAAGTCTGCAGTGATGAAGCTCCCACAACTTCTGTTCCATCCATTAATTGTTTCTCACTGTCAGAAAGTGTCTCCTTATTTCCAGGTTGAATCTCTCCTTGTTCAGTTTCCATCCATTATTCCTTGTCTGGCCTTTGGGGGCCTTGGAAAATAGCTTGACCCCTTCCTCCTCTCTGGGGCAGCCCCTCAAATATTGGAAGGCTGCTCTCCTGTCTCCCCTGGTCCTTCTCTTCCCTAGACTAGCCAAACCCAGTTCCTGCAACCGTTCATCGTATGTTTTAGCCTCCAGTCCCCTCATCATCCTGGTTGTTCTTCTCTGCCCTCTTTCCAGAGTCTCAACCACCTGAGGGCTGACCTCTGACCTGAGAGAGAGCATGCACAGGATTGCAAGGTGGTTAAAACACGACTCTAGATTAGGACCCCTGGGGAGGGGGCAGAACCACTGAGCATGCTGGTGTTCTCGCCTCCATGCCGATCAAACGCAGCCTTCTCCGAACAGCGGCTTCACCTAGACTGTGGCCAGCTTTCCCTCTGGAGTGCCAGCTTTGTACATGCAAGGAACGTCTAATCCGGAGGTCTCCAAACTTGGGCAAAGAATTCTGGGAGTTGAAGTCCCCCAGTCTTAAAGTTGCCCGGGTTTGAAGACTTCCAGTCTCATCTCTCCTAAGAGGGACCCTCCTGGGTGTTTGGTGACCCCGCCCAGCCCGCTCTCCGAGTCGGCAGCTCATCCTTCCCCACCATCAACCCCAACCGGTGGCTCTGGCCAACCTCCGCTCACCGTCTGCTCACCTGAGCAGTGACCACTTTGTCGCCGCTGGTGGCGCTCGCCAAGTCCAGGGAAGGCTGGGAGTCCTTGGCCATGGAGTCCAGGGAGGTGTTGGGTGTCAGGAGGCCCCCCAGGGAAAAAGGCTCCCGAGGAACTAGGGAAGAAGCGCGGGAGTTGAAGGGGGGAGGAAACCGACAGAGATCCCCCCCCCCACACACACACCCAGGGAGGATTTGGCTTAGGGGAATAAAGACTTGCCTTCCAGGCCGGGAATCTTGCCGGTCTCGATTTCGGAGTCGCTCTTCTTCTTCCTCGGTGGGGGTGCCGGCCGGGCAGGCGGGGGTGGCCTCGGGGGTGGGAGTGCCACGGGAGGCGGGGGCCGGGCCGGGCCAGACTTCTTGGTGCTGGCCACGATATCTGGCTCCATGGTCAGCTGTCGGGGGGGCTTGGCCGGAGCCGGCTCATCGGCGGCCGAGGAGCCTTGGGGGAGAGGGGGATCCGAGGACGGGGGCGCCGGATCGAATCCATCCGGCTGCCGTAGCTCGGTGGTCTGACAGCCTCCCTCCTCCTCTTCCTCCTCCGGGTCTCCTCCACCTGCTTTCCGCTCTCGGCTCTCGCTTGGGCTTCCTGCGGAGGTGACGGCATCTTCCCCTCTGGGGTGACCTGCCCCCTCGTTGCCGGGAGGCGGCAAGGTCTCCTGGGACGCTACCCCGTTGGCCAGGGCCTCGGGGGCTTTGCGGGGGGCTTGCGTTGCAGCTTCTGCGATGAAGAATTCGGGAATGTGGTGGAGGAGATCTGCTCCCGAGGCCCAAGGGTCTGCGTGCGACGGGTGGCTGATCAGTTCCTTTTGGGGAGGGGCCAAAGGGTCCTCCTCAAGCCGATTGGCCTTCTGGCTTTCTTCTATGATGTTGTCAATGATCTGAGGAGCAAGTGTAACTGCAATTAGACCCCCCCTCCCCGAGTTAGCTGGGGGATAAAAATAAAAGATTGTATAATCCAGCCGGTCAGGTGGGTGATCCACTTTGTCGTCCTGACTTAGGAGGATAATGAACAGGCTCCAAAACGACCGTAAGCTGAGAGCGACTTGCATTGGTTTATATAGCAAAGGTCTCCAACCTTGGCCACTTTAAGACTTCTGGACTTCAACTCCCAGAATTCCTCAGCCAACTGGCCAGGGAATTCTGGGAGTTGAAGCCCACAAGTCTTAAAAAGTTGCCAAGTTTGGAGAGCCTTGGTTTACGGCATCGGATTTCACCTTGAAAGAAACCGATTATCCAGAGATCCAGTATTGGGGAAACACGGGAACCCTTCTCTAAACGGAGCCTATATATATATAAAAAAACAAATAACCTAAGATGCACAGTCAGCGTAACCACAGCAGGCCGCAGCCCCTGGTAACTTCCATTTGGTCACAACTAAGCAGAAGCAGAGCCCTTTGGTACTTGGATGGGGACCCTGGAAACGCAGAAGCGCAGAACCCACACTTGCTTTCATTCTTTGCTGCTGTTACGCTTGCATTTTATTCTGAGGATCCCTTCTTGAATGAGGGCGGCCTCAGGCTTCCCTGTAAATTGTTAGAGAGGAATAAAACGAGGACAAAAGCACAGGTGGTAAACTACGTACTTTGGAGACGTAAAACCCGAAGAAATCTTAAGAACTGTGCATTTTATCACATGAGCAGCTTAATGATTCTGTTGTTTCGCTGGCCTCAAAATAACGCACAGACTTAGCCTCCCTAAACCCTTTCAAACGCAACCCCCTTTTTAAAAATCTTCTCTCCAGCACGTCCTATCCAGGAAGAAAATACCGCAAAACAAAACGTAAACCACTTCAAACCTTGAGGATTAAGAGGTGGTGAAAGCAAAACAGCTTTCCCGTAAGTTGCTTGTGAGAAAAACCACCCAACAGCACGTTGCCATCCGTTCATCGCCAATTGTGAAGTCCTGCGGAACGAACCTTTTTGGGGTCGTCTTGCTTGATGTCCAGGTCTTTCTCCCCTTCATGCTTGCCCACCAGAGAACCTTCGTCCGGCTCCTGGAAAACAGGGTCAGAGGTGATCGGCCTTGCCATAAGAAGAGCTTGAGTCCAGTGGCTGAGCCGCCGGGGGCGGTGGGAACTGTTGCCTCCGGACAGACGGAGGGACTAGCTGGAGAAAAGCGGCCTTGATAACGCTGATCCCTTAGAGGCAGCTAACTACCTCGGCACCGGCTGCATTTTCTCACAAAGTGAAGAGCAGCGTTGCGTCTGGGATCCAAGGGCAGATAAGAACGGCGCCTCTAGGAACCTGTTTCTTAATCTTGGCCACTTTGCGTCGGGTGGACTTTAACGCCCAGAAGTCAGCATGCTGGCTGGGGATTTCTGGGAGTTGAAGTCCACCGGTCTTAAAGCTGGCGACATCGAAGGGACAGACAACACAGCCCCACCAATCCCCCGCTCCTCCCGACCCCAGCTCTTCTCACCCACCCCTGCCAGTCAGCAGGCGAAAGGTAAAGGTTGCCCTCCTTGCACATCCATGCTAATCGTTCCCGGCTGTAGGGGGCGCTGCTCATCTCCGTGACAAAGCCAAAGAAGAGCCAGCGCTGTCCGAAGACGTCTCCCTGGTCATGTGGCTGGCAGGATAAACGCCTTTGAAGGTGCACGGAACGCTGTTCCCTTCCCACCAAAGGGGTCCCTATTTTTCTACTTGCATTTTTTACATGCTTTTGAACTGCTAGGTTGGCAGAAGCTGAGACAAGCAACGGGAGCTCACTCCGTTACGCAGCGCTAGGGATTCGAACTGCCAACCTTTCTGATCGACAAGCTCAAGAGTCTTAGCCACTGAGCTGCCACGTCCCTAGTCAGCAGACCAGAGGGTATGAATTATATGCTTTAAAACAGGGGTCTTCAGCCTTGGCCACTTTAAGACTTGTGGACTTCAACTCCCAGAATTCCTCAGCCAGCTGGGAGTTGAAGTCCACGAGTCTTAAAGGGTGGCCCAGGTTGGAGAAGCCCAGGCGCTTTCCTCCTCGCCTGCTGCCCTGTCTAGCTGGGTGCTGCAATTCTGAGGCCTTCAAAGGGGGTGGACAGGATGCCCTCAAGGGGTGGCTGCTCCTGCGTGGCACAAATATTGACACAAAGAGACACACCTTCAGCGCTGACGCCCCTGTGACTTTCCTTGGCGACCTAGTGGAGGAAAACAAAGACACGGAGCAGATAAGAGCAGGAGAAGTAAACGCCCACCAGCCATTTGAGAATTTAGCTCGCAAGATTCCTTCCCTCATTCTTGCTCAGCCTCTACCAGCCCCGGTGGACGATGAATGCAGGGTCCGGTCTGTGACATGCCCTCTGGGGGACCACAAGCCCACATGCCCCCCATGAGTCGCTGGATTTTTTTTCCTACTTACAACCAGCTGAAATGGCAGTTTGTGTGAACAGAAGCCCCACCGGAACCTTAACCCTCAGGCTCATGATATATATCATCCACGATTCTATCACTCAGAATTATAAAGCCATGGAACCATGGGTCATGCACAGGCCATGCGTCCATCCAAATTAAACACTGAAACCTCTTCACAAGTGACCCATAAAGTTTCTGGCTACATCACTGTACACAAATTCAGCTTCAACAAAACAAGCTGAAGAGTTTGAAACAGAGTATTAAGCTAAAGTTACAAGTTATACACAATTCTATAAACACGTTCAAAATGTTTTATAAAACAGTGCCTTCAAGGAAAAAACACAAGTCTTTTTTTTTTTTTGCACCAATAGAGAACCTGCTTCTCAGGAGCGCACAAAAGATGGAAATTCTTTCTCGTGTTGGTTTTTTTTCCTCTTTGCGCTATTGGTTTTGACAAGAGAGAGAGAGAGAGAGAGAGAGACGTGGCCAGAAATGAGTGGGTCTATCTCTAGTAGGAAGAAAACCAGCAACAAATCAGGCTGCAGCTTCTGAAGTCTAAGATAAGGGAAGTCTCCGCAAGAACCAGCCAGAGCGAAATTGCTTTCAGTTTTTAGAAGGGGCATTTAACTGTTCCTCTAATTTGGTTTAAGAGCTCTTTGAGAAATTTGAGAAATGCTGACTTCAAATCTAGTTCATGAAAGCCAATATGAATCACCCTGGAATTTTTGAGGCTGAAAGCAGCAGTTGTGTATGGAAGGGGCTTATTCAGCACCGGGAGGCTTCCTTTCGGACAGTCGGGTGATAGACAAGGGCCCATCTTTTTTTTTTTTTTGTAAATTTTATTTGAGTTTTCACAAACAGAAAAAAAATACAAATAAAACATCTTTTTTGAAAGTAGCGTAATCTAAAGTTATTTCTATTACTAATATAATAATACAATCTTATGTACCTTTACAGCATCCCTTTTTCAGTTAGATTTTCACCCATTATCTCTAAATAGGTCCTGTTTCTCTATATCTTGCTCTGGTCCTTTGTAACTTCTTTTCCTTTCCTTCTTCCCTCTCTTCTTCTCTCTGCCCTTTTTACACCCTTGTCTCTCTACCTCTATTTCTCTCTTCTGTATTCCCCTTTTCTGTTGCTTTCCAGTATTATACTTATTTTTCAAATTATTTTTCTTTTCTTTGGTTGTTTTTGTAAGTCTTAAATTATCCATTCTCTTTCCCCCCTTTCCTTTTTCTTCCCCACATAGAATTACTTGTTCATTAAAGATGGTTTCTTCTTTGTCCCAGTCTTCTTGGTTTGCAGTCATTTCTTGTTGTTTCTCATAGTTCCAAATCTCCATTTCTAAGGATTGAAAAACGAAGCCAAAAGAACTTCTCCCTTCTTGTGCATCTTCTTTGTACTTTTTAAGTTCCATTTTCAATTATCCAGAAGTGGTGCCATTGTATAAATTTTTAAACAACCACCCAATTGATTTTAATCATTCAAATATAATAACCAAGAATCCAAAGATCCCCAAATAATCCAAATACACGCAAGCTGTTTCTTTTTTGCTCTTTTTTTTCACTTTCTCTTCCTGGGGTTACTGTTTAGTTGCAAAGTTTCAGTTAAAATGTATCTTAGAAGTCTTGTTGAAGTTTTAACTGTAGATTCTTTTTAATTCCAGGCAGTCTCCTCCTTCTTCCAGATTCTGCCCTTATTCTTTTTCTCTCCCTTCCTGCTTATGAAAAAGAAAATTTTTAATGTCCAGAAATCTTTATTATCCCTTTGGCGTTTTGTTTTATTTTCAGCTTAATTGCCTATTGATGTCAAAGCGGATTTTTCCGATTTCTTATTTAAGTCTCTTAGTTGTCAGTATAGGGAAGGAGAGAGAAGAAAAAAAAAGCCAAACCTTTTCCTTTTCACTTTCCTTCGCTGCTTCCGACTCTTCTTTGGGAGCGATGTTATTTTTTTGTAAATTTAAATTCCAGGGTACCTTAGTTGTTGCTTTTACAATTTAACCCGGTCAGCCAAAACTTTCACTTCTTATCTTCCTCCTGTACATTCTTTTCCGGTCGAGTTCTCCTTTGTGGTGGCCATTTCTGACCACCGCTGCAACCGCCTTTGGGAAAGGGAGTAATGGCCAGCTGAGGAGGAGAGATGCGGCTCTCCTCAACCCTGCTGGTGGTCTCCCCCCTCTTCACCACCTCTACGGGGTGGCTTAGCCCCGAAACCAGCTGGCTTGGGGCGCTTCAGCGCCGAGCCCAGACAGAAACCGCGCATGATCGCAGATTTCTGTCTGCTGCCAAAGCCCTTCAAACCGGAAGTCCGACAAGGGCCCATCTTTGAGCTACGCACAGCTACTCCCTCCGCAACTCTTCCAGCAGCAGAGAAATTCCCTCATCCAGATGAGGTCAATACTTGCTCTGAGCAGCCGATCAAAAGTATTGAGCTGTTTCCCAATCACCTGCCAGAACAAACTGACTTAACACAGAACCAAAACAGAGTTGGTCTCTGGGTAAGAAGGATCCGTTTATTTGCTCTCCTTGGAAAAAGAAATATCTCTGGGTTGGAGAAAACATGTGTGTAACCAGGAAAAGGATAAATAAAAGGATAGTGAGATGGGTGCCTGGCCCAGGGAAAGGACAGATTTCTGGGGATGGGCTCATGTCCAGAGAGGTAGAACATGCGACAGCAGACCAAAAAGCAGGGGGGGAAGGGAAGCAAAAATGTAAGGAATTAAATAGGGGCCTTCGGGAGCAAAAGCCGGTGCTGGGAAGTTTCTTCAAGCTGGCTGGGGAATTCTGGGAGTTAAAGTCCACATCTCTTAAATTACGTTAGCTCTGGAATCAAAGTCCACATTATCTTAAAACAGGATAATCTGAAATTCTGCGAATCGAAGTCCACATCTCTTGCTGGTCTGGAATTCTGGGACTTGAAGTCCACCCGTCCTAAAGCAGGCTAGCTGGGGAATTCGGGGACTTGAAGTCCATCCATTTTAAAGATGGCTGAGGTTCAGAAATACTGAGCTGGGTTGGGAGTGACACAGCCAAGAAAAGAAAATTTGTCCTCGGAAGTTGTAGGAGCTTCACCACTTCAGACTTTCAAGAAGAGATTGGACTGCCATTTGTCAGGAATGGTGTAGGGTCTCCCGCTTCGGTGGGGGGGTTGGACTAGATGACCTACAAGGTCCTTTCCAACTCCGATTATCTGTTTATAAGATGGATGGAAAGCGGGAAAGAGGGAGCCAGGAAGCCAGGCCATAACAGACGCACTTATTTTATTTATTGGCACATGCATGGACTTAAGAGTAGTTCAAGTGTTAATGTCCAGTCCACCCAGCTATTCCATCCCACTGTGTCCGAATGTCCGTCAAGAGCTTACAGTGGCCCAGTGACTGATTTTTTTCATAAGAGCTACAGCCCAAGTTGGAGGCAGAGATGCTGGGCATCGCAGGGCTGAGACCAAGGGGCCCAAAGGGAGGCCAGCCACCAGAGAGGCAAGAAAGCGGGCGCCTCCAGCTGTGAGGCCTGGTGCAGCCATCTTTCCCTTTCTCAGATCGCCACACTGTGTGTGTGTGTGTGTGTGTCTGGAATCTCAGCCCAGATGACAACAGACCATCTCGTGGGAACCCAGGTCACGTCAACAGGTGCTGGCCAGAGAGGGGGGTCACCGAAGAGATGCCAGGACACTTCATTGGACAACTGGACAAAGTGACCTGGGAACAAGAGGGAGGCAGTTCTCTTGTCTTTTCCACGGAAACCGTGGGAAATATTTAGAGCCGGTTTGATCTCCATCTGTGCCGATACGATGGGCTCAATAAAACAAACGGTCCCTTTGGGAAAGCGGAGAAGCCTCGGAGTGCCGATGGGTTGGGGGATTCATTCCTCGGAACCGTGACACGGGGCTCCTTTCGCAGAGGGAGGGTTTTTTGGGGGGTGGCTGCTGTCAGGTTGGACCCCGGAGGAGAAACAGGGGGAGGGGGCAGAATATCAATGGGAGCATTCCTTCACAGCCCCTCCCTGTCCCATTTTGGGAGAGGACAAGAGGTGGCCAAGGGCAGCCACAGGCCAGAGATGGGGAGGGGGGGGGGGGGGGGAGGGGGGGGGAGAACGGGGGGGGGGGGGGGGGGGCGCCGGGAGGCCCGGGGGGGGCGCCCGGGGGGGGGGGCGGGGAGGAGAGAGCGGGGCGCCCCCAACGCGGAGGCCCCGACAGGGATGGAAGAGGAGGAAGAGGAGGGTGGAATCCACAGCCCGGCCCTGCAGGAGCTTCGGCTCGGATGGGCGTCCAGTCGAGCCGCTTCCCTGGCCCCGAATCTCCCCGGG